GCGCCGAAACGGGCGCAGCCAACAACCCCCCACGGGCCGTACTAACACCCCACTTGTCCCCGCAGCGCCGCCGTAACCGCCACCGGGCCGGAACGGCGCGTCACGTGACCAGAGAAGGGCGGAATCACTTCCCGGCGGCGCTTCACGCGCGAGCGGGCCACGCGGCCTCCATCTTGACTGCGGGCACGGCCAAGCCGGGTGAGCGCCCCTCCTTAGCTCGGCCTAGCGCCGCCGCGGCTTTGTGAGGTAGCCACTGCCTCGGCCGCCCCTGCTCCCGACCCATGCGCGGCGGAGCAAGCGCCATGATGGCCGGCCACCCCGGGACGCTGTCACGTTATGAGCGGCGCGAGCCCGGCCCCGCCCCGTCCCGGCTGCAGGAGGGTCACGTGGTCGCTCTCCCGCGGGTTCTGGCTGGAACTGCAGCTCAGTAGACTTCACAGACCCGCGGGTAGATGCCCCAACGCCTGGCGCCGGCAGACACCCCGGGAGCTTCCGGGCTGGGCCACGGCCGCGGGGGGACGCTGTAGCAGGGCAGGGCTCTGGCGGCTTGAGGGACCCCGTCCCGCGTGGGGATTCCGGGCTGCGGTTGGGGCACCTCAAGCCCTGGAGCACAGACGCTGGGGGAGGCAGCCGGGCAGCCCCCACACTCCCGCCACAGCACATCGACTGCTGTAGTAACATGACACAATTTGACACTAGGTCTTGTGGTGCCACAGCTGTGGCACAGCAAAGGCTATTGTCTTGCACGTTGTGGTGCTTGTTTCTACCCTGAGACCACCATGCTTCTCCCTCCCTGTAGCACAGCTGTGGCGCAGATGTTTAAAAGTACTAAGTGTTTAACTCCCAGGTAAACGTGCTAAATAAAGTACTTCTGCAAATCCGGCTCTTTCAGTAAAAGGGATTCCTGTTCAAATTGTCTTTGGTTTGTCTCTCACAAGGTATTTTGATGTCATTTGTCACCATGGAATCACCACATCATAACGGCCACCAGAAGGGACTGACAGCACAACGCGTACAGGCCCCGCTTACTAATATTTAGTGTACCCTGTAAGCCAGGGTGTAAGGCTGGAAGTGAGACATCAGCTTACTATGACCATATTACCTCTCTAATACCACCATTAGTGAGGTGGGTGAGCACTGACAGCGTAGGTTGCAGCAACCTGGGAGCAGGAATAGATCTAGCTATTTGTGGTAGGAATAGCTCTAGCTTTGCCTCTACTGCAAACCTAATTCAAGTCTGCTACTATAGCAACTGTATAGCAACTAACTGTCTCTATGCTAACAGACTCAAAAGAAAGTTTATCTATGAACTAATACTGGTTTGTCACTAGAGAAGTCAAAGTGAACAGAGATGCTATAAGCAGGGATTGAAAATGTCATCAGTGCAAGGTCTGGAACAGATGCCAAAAAGCACTGTTACACAGAGGCAGTGATAGGTTTAAAATGTGAGCTGTCTTTCACAAAGCTAAAAATAAGGGTTTTATATCACCATATCATTAGAAATGCCAGCATCCTAGGAGAAGAAAGCATTTCTGCCTTACTCTGATAGGACGGGACATTAGACCTTAAATGAACAGCAATTGTTCATCTGACTTCCCACATGAAGACCATCAGACTTCATTAATTCTTGCTTTATGTTTAATAGCTGCACTTGAACTAGAGCGCATGGTCTGCCTCACTTTCAGTACCTGCTTTTCCTAAGCACAAATCTTTTCTACCAGCTGAGTCACCAAATTGTACTTCAAACAAAGCAGAAAAGATGACCATCCAATTTTGATTTTAAAATTACTAGAGTTGGAGAATTTGCTACATCCCTTGGTAGGTTCTTTTTAGTGTTTTATTTTCCTCACTGAGATTTGTGCCATATTTTAACTTTGAATATACGTGGCTTAAACTTCCAGGTGTTGTTTCTTTTTATAACTTCAGCTAACTGAAAAGCCCTCTGGTATCACATTTCTGTTCCCATGTGGCTATTTATAGACTGTAGTCCAGTTGTGTATTAACATTCTCTTTCTTAAACTAAAAGTTTGAGTACCTTCAAACTTTAGTCTCCGAACCCTCTCCAACTTATCAGTATCCTTCTTGTGGATGGAAGTGTTCACAATAATCTAGCAGCAGTTGCACTACAGGTACTATAATCTCCTTACTGCCGCCCAAGATTCCTGTCTTTATACATCCAAGTACTGAATCCTTTCAGCCACCACGGAACCTCACATTCAGCTGACTATCCACCATGTTCCTCAGACCTCTTTAGAATCAGTGGCCATGTCTACATGGGACAATGACTGCACAGTTGTTACTGCACAGTCATTTAGTACTTGCATAGCCAAGTACTGCATGATTACACAGTAACTGGTGTTATTGCGCAGTACGGTCCCCACACAGCTTCTGGGTAATGCTGACTGTGTAGTAGCTCATTAGTACTGTGCAGTAGTGTTGTGTCATGGTTTGTGCCCCGTGATGCTACTACATAGTACTAACAAGCTACTGCGCAGTAATGAGCTACTTATGCAGTAAGTGTCCTGTGTAGACATGCCCACTGTGTCCCAGGATAAAGTCCCTGATCCTGCAAGCATGGCCTACACATTCATTCTTTCTACACGTGTGTCTTAACATTTGACTCTATTGAAATGTGTATCATTAACAGAGCAAAGAACCAATCCCTGGAGAACCACACTGTTCAATGATTATTTATCATTACATTTTGAGATCTATCACTGGAAATTTACTGTTCAGATTTAAGAGTTGCTGTAGTTCTTAATATGTTGTACCATGCTCTGACTTTTCTGATTTATACCCCGTGCATCCTCACTGAAGTCAGTCAGGTCATTCAAGGGATTAAATTTGTCCCATTACTTTAAGTGATCTCAAATTTTCAGTATACAGCAAGTTTGATTGGACCAGGGCTACTCACCAAGGAATCATGACCCACAGGGGTCCACAAAGGGTGGATAGTAGGAAACTCAAAATAAATAACAAGCCACAAAATAGTGAGTTGATACTACATAAAGATAGAGATCTTCCTATTGAACCATGGTTTGAAGCTCTAGATAGTAGGAGAAAACATGCTATCCTTTTTTTTCTTTGTTGGTGACATGCAGAGGAGTTAGGCTATGTAGGCACAGTGGACTCCGCATACTGTACAGGAATTTCTCTGTTCACTGTGAACATTGTTTTATCATGATTTCTGGGTATCTGACATGCAATCCTGGCTCTAGTTAACCCCATGGCTAAACTCAGATTACTTTCCATGGCACCAGGATTCTACCCTATTCTAAAAGCAACGAACACTGTATTTATTTTTGGGGGAAACATTCAAAATGAATTCCAGTATTCCAGTATTCCAGCTGAAAGTCATGATTTTAACAGTACTTCTGTTTAAAACCTGATAGAATGACATAGCCCCATCTATAGTTTTTAAACAAAAGTTATGACATTAAATTTGGACATTTGTATAATGTGCTTACACAAGAACTAAGAAAAAAGAACAGATGTAATGCATTTTCCTTGTCCAATTTACTCTGAGTTATTAGGTGCTGGTGAAAGGATTTATTGGACCTGTTTGCTCACTATTTCTTATCTCGCATGGTTCTATGTGCATTCTTTTACTACAGCATGTTGTAACTCTTTCTTTTCAACCACCTCTTACCCAAGGTTTTCAAAGCTTTTATGGACATTCATTAATTCATCGTCACAGCAGCTCAGAGAGTTAGGGAATTAAACTTATCTTCATTTACAGAGAGAAGCTTAAGGATGACATTTTCAAAGCTGCCCTCTGGTGTGGGATGCCTATCTGAAATGTGTTTAATGTTCAGAGATCCTGCACAGCTGCA